ATGCCCACTCTAAATCAGTTATAATGCCAACTTTAAATCAGTTATAATGCCCGCTCTAAACCACTTATAATGCCCACTCTAAATCACTTCTTATGCCCACTCTAAACCACTTCTAATGCCCACTCTAAATCACTTATAATGGCCACTCTAAACCATTTATAATGCCAACTTTAAATCACTTATAATGTCCACTCTAAATCAAATATAATGCCCACTCAAAACCACTTATAATGTCCACTCTAAACCACTTATAATATGACTACTTTTCTGGCTTTTTTAATGGAGGAAGACTTCAGAGATAGTTTGCGTAATTATTAATGCATAAACACTTAAAAAGGAACTTGAAAAGAACAGCTAGTTTGCACGATCATTATCCTCACAAGGAATCTGAAGATCAAAATGATCCTCATAAGGAATCTGAAGATCAAAATGATCCTCATAAGGAATCTGAAGATCAAAATGATCCTCATAAGGAATCTGAAAATTCTGGTGAAAGTTTAAAACATTCAAAATCAGTTACAGAGATTTAAGTTTTAATCTTCATAACCATAACTTACTGGTATTTTATCTATCTATACATTCTGTAAATAAAATATACTCAATAGAATTTTTTTAACAATGTAAACTGTTTCTCTTGCCAATTATCTTTTTTTTTTTCTTTCCTTTTTTTTTTTTTTTTTTAAATTCCAGTTAATTTTAATTTCTTTGTTGTATAAGTTACCATGATGACTGTGACAAGACAGACAGACAGAAGAAAATACGTCCTGTATGATGTCATCAATCTCTTTAAAACTCTCATTTCTAGAAACAAACTAAAGTGATACTAGCAGATCTTTTCAATAAGTAAGAAGCCATTGTTAAAATTGTCCTGAAACATTTCTCTTGTCTTAATTCACATGTATTTGAAGATGCCGATGTAAATGACAATATTTATTAACATAGAAACATTGAGTCAACAACCATTTCAGATGTAGGGTACATTATCATAAATTAAATGTTATTTGAAAAACACTCTTCCTTTCTAAAACAATATAATCTTCAGTGCAAACAAACAGAAGGATCATTAAACTATTATTTAATGCATGACGGAAAATAAATGAATTAATTTCCGATTATTTTCAAAATTAATGAAGAAGTTAAAACACCTCATTGTGTCTGGAATAATAGAAATAAGTGAAGCACAAAGCAAAACATTATTTCTTAACCCATTATGCATGAAATCATTAACTTTTCAAAATAGTAAATTTACTAAATAATTTCAAGTAACAATTAATGTTTTAATAAGTAACAACTTAATGATCAAATCTGACCTTTTTTTTCTACTACCACCCAGACCTCTATATGACCAACATCGTCTCTGTGACCAGGGTTTCTTTTCCCCATCCTCTGAATGCTTGATTGTGAACGTTCCAGCTCGACTCTTACGATTCATATTTTAAGAAAATCACAAACTGTCTCAAAACTCACAAAAATGTTGAATTTTCCATTAACTATCATCCAGCAAATTAATATCCTTTAACAATCCAATGTCAAAACATAAACAGCAAGTTTTGCTAAATGACCTAAAATCTTAAAACAGGTTGTAAAATTCTTTATTTCTGATACATTTTGAGTTAGTAATTCAGCATAACCTACGCAAACGCCGTTATCTTTAAAGTGCCATACTACTAAAATAGAAATCCAAACATGATATGAAATAGAAGGACCATTGTTCACTACATTTTTTTTTCATAATATTTCAATTGCTGCAAATTTTCCCCGAGTCTGATTCAGTCAGAAGGAATTGCTATCTTGTTTAAATAATCACTGAATAAACTCCTTCATAACTAGAGTACTGCTGATTTTTCACATTTTTTGTAACATTTTGTTTTTGCGTTTCTTTTTTTTTTTAATGAAATCCTGGTGAGCTTGTATTTAGCTCTGTCTATTTCTTCTAACTCACATAAAGACAACAACCTGGTTATTTCTAAAGGCAAAGGGAAAAAAAGGACAAAGCCAATTAACTGTCAGGAATTTTCTACAAATAATTGTAAGATAATTGAATGGCAATTTATAAGAGTATTACCAGTAACTAATGGACTATCAAAAAATGGTGTCAACTAATGGTGTTCAATAATGGTGTCATAATTATAATAAGTTTAACAGTAAAAATTCACATCTTACATGAAACCTGAATGTTCACAGTTAAACCCCATTTCACAAAAAAATCATTTGAGATATCATCTTTAAATATGATTATCATGTGACATTCTGTATTATGCTATGTATACATAATTATGTTTTAATGATGGGGCCCCAACATCCAATTTTCCAGGGATCTCAAGAACCCAAATGTAAATATGTTTCAGTATGCTATGGTAGTTGAAATAATATTTAATAAGTTAATATGTTGTTCAATGATAAAAGCCGCTTTCCTTTATCAAATTTGTTGTTTACCAGCCACACTTTTAACAAAAGCTAAATTTAAAACTTTGAAGAGAGTCAGGTAATTTTGTGAGGTTATTTGAAAACCACAGTGACAATGCTGACATATTTAACTGTAAAATCTGTTATGATAGAAAGATGGTGAAACCATTAAACAAATATTTTCACACATTATTATTGCAGTACCATTAAAAATAAATACTACTGTAATCTGCTGCTCTATTATTACAATATAACTAAATCAGACTTTAAAAATATAATCTCTAAATATACAGTATATAATGTTAAAGTCTGAAATATACACTGTATATACATATATATCACAATCCAAAATTTTTGTTATATATAATTCCCCATTTCTCTTCATAATTAACTAATATTATAATTTATACAGAATAACATGTTTAAATGCCACCATTAAATTTTATATACATATACTAAAATACATACTATTATTTAATTATGTATCAATATGATAATATTAATATTGATATGTATACTACTCCCCGCGGGTACCGCGTCCTTGCCTATTCCGATGCAATCAGAAAATGTGTTTCTTTACACACTGAACGGGACAAATTGAATGATTCCATCATTAAAGTGAAAGTGGAAGTGCTGCTTTTTTAATTTGGATAAAAATTGTTAGAAATATTTTCATTTTAAATAAATTTCTGTCATTGATAGGAAAATCCAAAACTACCCGAGTGTGTTGGAAATATTTTTAAATTTTACCCCACATTTACCAGTTAAACTGATAATTTCATGTTCTGACAAGTGAAGGTCGTCTGCTGAAACTGTAGTGACGTCATATCTTATTGAAAAAGTTCTACTGAAGCCAAAAAGGGCCATCAATTTACATACCACGGTACCATAGTGCTCTCCGTTTAAGCTGCCATTCAAAACATGGCTGAATGACCATAGATGTTTCTAATTTAAATCATTGAGTTATTCTATGAATGACAGGTGTATTTTAAAGGCAAGATGCGACAGTTAAACACAATTTATTAAAATAGTAAATACAAGTTCTTTTTATGTGTACAATTTGCTGGAAATAATAAGAACAGTGGTACCATAGGGGACCATCCTATTTCAGTAGAAAGAACTGTAATGTAATGTATTAGAGTATTTTACTGTAATCAAGGTTAATAAAGATTAGGATGTTAGAAGATGGTATTTTATATTGACAGGGATTTAAAGGTCTATGATTCTTATCTTATATAGAAGCTATAATTATACAGTGGAGGCAAAGTAACATTGATATATATGCAAAAAGAAATATTGATGACTTTAAAGTAGTATAATAGTCTCTCTCTCTGTTATTTAATCAATACACTGGTCACTCATGTACAATGACTGAAACAGTGAAACAAGCTGGCCTGGCTATATACTGATGACCAGTCACTCTTGGTTTTTGAGCAGGTTAAGAAAGCTGACAAGTTGTCTACAGATCAACTTTAACTGTACACATACTATATGCCATCATCATGATCCCAAAATTATTCCTTGCCAGTTGTAGGCAGTTGTAGGTTTTATATTTTGTTGTGAAATTCTTTGAGGAAAACAGCAGACTACTTTATCAATATGTCAATTATTACCAACAAAGGTCTGTTTGAAAATCTGGAGATATTTTCCCTAAGGAAACCTTTTTTTAGGTTTTTTACAAAATGAAATGGTTATACATTGCTGTCTTGTCTAGTATTCATTGCTGATCTATTACACTGTCTTTTCTAATCTTTGTTTTAGTTTTTTAAAAACATACTTATTCTACAATACAAATCTTGGATTATCTTATATTTCTAGATAGATAAAATGGAGTATGAAACAATCATGCCCTGATGAACTGCTGAGGATGATGATACCAGCTTTATTATATAGATGTCACTCTCTGCTTCATTTCAGCTGCCCCACCTGTATCATTCTCAGGTGTCTCTTTCCCCCTCAGATTACCCTCCCTCCTTTATCCTTGCTTTAATTCAGGTGCCTTATTCTTCTTAAATTATTTTAGATGCACATCCCTGCACTATTTCAGATGCCCCTTCCTGCAATTTTCCAGGTGCCCTTCTCTATAATATTACTGGTGCCCTTCCCTGCAATATTTCCAGTACTCTTCCTTACAATATTTCAGGTGCCCCTCCCTGCAATATTTCAGGTGCCCCTTCATGCAATTTTGGAAGCCCTTCCCTACAATATTTCAGGTGTCTCTCCCAATAATATTTTAGGTGCCCTTCTTGCAATATTTCAGCTGCCCCTTCCTGCAATTTTAGGTGCCCTTCCCTACAACATTTCAGGTGCCCGTCCCTGCAATATTTTAAGTGCTCTACCCTGCAATATCTTCCCTGGAATATTTCAGATGCCCCTTCTTGCATTATTATAGGCACCAAGAGAATTTTTTTATATCACAAAGGTTAGCTGGATTGCTAGCATTCTCACATGAAAGCAGTTTCTTGCACTTGTATCATGTCATAATGGCACTTAAAATGTCTTCCAACTTGTCCTGAAAATTTCATTTACAAGTAACAGTATAAATTCTAGTACTGGATGTATTATGAAATGACAAAAAAACATGCTTTACTTACTTGTAGCTCTTCAAGGTCAATGCTGTATCACATCTGAAAATAGAAAATAATTGTGATATATTACATGTCAGAAAATCTTCTAATCAACCCAGAATTAAGGGTGATTTTGAGAGTAGAGAACTTTGCCAGATGCAACCTGTAAAAATATGTTTTCACAATATTGAACATCATAATTATTATTTTAAATAAATGTACCATTTAAAATCATTTAAATCATACTTGATAAAACACAAGTAATATGAAACACCATTATAATAGGACTATTTGCTACAAAAAAATGAACATCAGGTCAATCCATATAAGGTAGTAAAATGAGTAATTTCAATAATTTGAGCACCCACAAAATAAAGGAACTATATTCAAACTACACATAACTGTGATATAATAAAATTTCAACAGTGTGTGTGAGTGATACCATTTAAGGTTGGAAAGAAGGACAATCCAGCAACTATAATTATGTTATACCAAAAAACAAAAAAATATATGTGGGGAAATCAAAAAATAAAAACATAACTAAATACAAAGGTTCTCGAAGCTGCAATGATTTAAAGATTTTAATTGCTTACAAAGGATTAATTTTACGAAGTTATTGTCTATGCTTTTCAGAATGAAACTGTCGAAAATAATAGGTAAAACCATCACAGACCATCAATCATCTTGTAATTATTGTATAAAGTTTTCCATCATCTTTAATCTGGAAAGAATTATCTAAGACAATCAATACATGTGAGACAGTAAGTACAGTAACACCTCTACAGAACAAACACCAACAGGACCACAAAAAATGTTTCTCTAATAGATTGGAAATTTTCCCAAATAATCAAAGTCCTTTGAATGGTTGATCTCCAAAGGGTATTAAGCTGTACAGGACAATAGTTATTTTTAATATTTGTTTGTGTCTTAAAATCATATCAATTTTTGCTAATGAAATAATCTTATTTTTTTATATTTTTGATAAAGCTGGTGATCTCTGTAAGAAATCATTTGAGCCGCGTCACGACAAAACCAACATAATGGGTTTGCTAACAGCATGGATCCAGACCAGCCTGCGCATCGGCGCAGTCTGATCAGGATCCATGCTGTTCGCTTACAAACCCTATAACAAATAGAGAAACTGATAGCGAACAGCATGGATCCTGATCAGACTGTGCGGATGGGTTTGCGAACAGCATGGATCCTGACCAGCCTGCGCATCTGCACAGTCTGATCAGGATCCATGCTTTGCAAACCCATTATGTTGGTTTTGTCGTGACGCGGCTCATTTCTACACCTGCTACATGTAGCAAGTCAATGTTGTGTTACAGGTAGGTAATAATACAGCCATAAGAATATGTGACCTTGACCTTAAGTCAACACAGCATCAGTATAGATTCTGCACATAACTTTTGTTGAGACCTTTAAGGATGACTTTAACATTAAGCGTGTACAAAGTTAGCAATTGGGCTGTGTACACAATGCCTTGACATCTGAACCAAATTCAAAGAAAATCTTTCTACTGGAATTAGACAGTTAAAGAAAAGACACTTAATTTCATTGTTGCATTTTGGCAATTAATACAGTTACAGTGATTAAGTATTATGTATGGATGTCAAAATACTTATGTTATTTACATATTGCTTCTTTTATGACAAATTATTTCACATTTAGCGCTACTTAAACTTCTGAGGTAACAAGCATCTAACATGCTCTAAAACCATTGTTAAATCACTATTATAAGGTTCATTTAAATATGCTCTTTATACAAAAGTAAAAATGTATTCAATTCCGAGGCCTTTTATAGACATCACTTCATATTGTGAATATTACAATTCATTGCCATTGTTTATATCAGAATTTGTGTAAAGTAAAGCAATGTTCATATAAAGGCAAATAATATCAGACTTCATGAATCTGAACTATGACATTTAAATTTTCTACAAAAAATCAATTTATCAGTAAATTAACTGCAAACTCAGGAAAACTGAATAAGTCCACTTGGCATTTAACAAAGATGACCATTTAATTATACATTTGTATTAGCTTTGCACAAGTAAATTATCTGCCCACATTCACACACTACTTCTCTGATCATGAAGTTTACCATTACTTGTTAAAAAAAAACAATGGTTTTAACAAGAATCGACATACTTGGAACATGAGCAGAATTCTCTATAAATCATGATTTAACTTTTTTTTTCAATTTAAAAGAGAAAGAATATACTTGAATAAATCATTAATGGAACTCTAATTATTGAAAGAAGACATAAAAACACATTATAGGTCTAACATTCCATTGAATGCCATTCAGGGAAGAAAATTCTAGAATTATGATAATTCTAGTTTTAATTAAAGGCTTTTAAACTGAAGGTACTGATGTAAGAATTGGTAACATCCCTCCGTGTACAGTTGTTTATGTGATAGAATTTAGTGAATAAGTACGAAGACATAACTCCCAGTTATAGTAAACTGTTTATACCTGTAGTAAGCTTTAATTGCTCCAATATGTTGTGAGTTAAATAAGGAGAAGAATTTCATAAGACACTTTGTCTTCCATTCCAGATCTTTGAAATGCTTTGTGTGTATTGTAAATTGGAACATGTATATTCTGAGCAAAATATATGTTAAAACTAATTAAATAAGTTTTTTATGTTGATTTTATTTATATTAAAGCTGAAGCATAATATTCTAACTGGTACGCAATCCAATTCAAAGGCCTTCTTAGCTGCGTGTTTACGGGGGCAACACACCTTGTATAACTTCTAGCTGGAAGTATGTTAAAATATATAGCATAAAATCCTTTGTTTTATATTTACAAAAAACCTTTTTTTCATAATCCACTATCTATGAACAATCTTGTACAATTTTTTTTAGATAACTTACATCTTTAAGCTTTTACAAAAAATTGATGACATGAAGTGCTGACCAATCAAAGTATGCTTTTGTTGAAGTCAAAAACTGGGGTTTCTTGCTATTTTTCTTTTTAAGCCTTTAAACAGTATGAGCAGCATGTTCAATTATGACACATGACCATCTTTACTAAGAAAGGTAACTCTACTAAACTGTATAATCTATTACATATAGAGTTATCTCCAATATAGAAACCATTAAAAAAGAAGAAGAGTAATTGTACAACCTACCTTTATCCAGCTAAATTTTTGTATATAAATATCATACATTAAACTTCTCTCTTATTTGTCGAATTTTTCAAATTTGTATACACTTTCCTAAAATTTCTCTCAAAAAGCACAGTTAGTCCCATTGAAACTGAAATGTGCAATCTAAAAACCCAGATCTTCAGAAAGATAAATGTTCCTGCTTGCAGAAATGACACAAAAAGAATGTTTTTACAAGTCCCCAACCATGTTACACATACATATAACAGAATCTACAAGTTTATTATCCATCTAGAACTTTGATAATGCTACAGCAATTTATACCAGATTCTTGACATTCAAATCAAATATAAATCAATATTATATTTCACTGTAACAATACCTTACAATCAATCAATGTTGGATTGTAACAACAGGTTAATCACTTAAAAAATATAAGCTGTGCATTTACTGATTATATTTTGCCGATGGTATCACAGTATGCTTGTATTTAAAGCTTCTGACAACATAACTGGAACAAAACACTTCATTTCCTATGATGTAATATTTCATTGAGTCAAATTACTGTTTAGATAATTTTCATTATCAATTCCTATTATAAGGGAAAGTTTTGTGGCATTTCTCTGCATATTCTCATCTCACCACATAATGGTTTGATAATTCCTGCTAACATGTAAACGTTCTCAGTCAGTTCTCCACTGTTTCTGTAATCACTGTGACCTTGAACTTTAAAATAAAACATTCTGCTATATCTGTTGCATATAGGTCCATGCACTATTTCTGTAATCACTGTGACCTTGAACTTTAAAATAAAACATTCTGATATATCTGTTGCATATAGGTCCATGCACTATTTCTGTAATCACTGTGACCTTGAACTTTAAAATAAAACATTCTGATATATCTGTTGCATATAGGTCCATGCACTATTTCTGTAATCACCGTAGCCTTGAACTTTAAAATAAAACATTCTGATAAATGTCTATGCACTATTTCAGTAATCACTGTGACCTTGAACTTTCAAATAAAATATTCTGATATATTTGTTGCATATAGGTCCATGCATCACCGTGGCCTTGAACTTTAAAATAAAACATTCTGATATAGGTCTATGCACTATTTTAGTCAAATCACAGTGACCTAAATGACAGATTTTCAACAATTTCTGTAATCAATCATGAACACTACAAGAGATTCTGATACTTCTGTTGCATATAATTTAGTATTCCTTAAGTATAATGTTAAGCATAACAGTCAAAATTAATCACTATGATCTTGTTACTTTACTTACATGTATATCACCTGATTTATCTGCAGCATATAATTTGTTTATTCAATCCAGAAGTATTTTGACTGATTTAGCTGTAGTGACTTTTTCCAGTATTTCAGTGATTACTGTGATCTTGACCTTTGACAGATTTAGAGCTATAATAATTATTTATTACACATTTTCTGTTTATGTTTATCTAAAGAAATTAAAGATTTTTAACTGGAGATTACTTTATTTGAATCCATATATTTCTGTATTATTATTATTAGATGGATAGGAAATTGAACCCTAAAACAGTAAATTATCCCTTAAATAATTCTTCCCTTCAAAGGGAATTAGCATATTTCATTTTATTATCGAACATTTAAATAATAGATAAAAATCCTGAAACCATTAAGCCTATGTTTGATTTAATTCTAAGAAAAAAATATTGTTAGTAATATAGTAAAAGTCATTTAAATACTAGCCATCTTTTTATGTAAAATACATTCCAAATTATGCTTTGAAGGAAAAAATTATAAGCTTCAATTAGTGATATAGCAATTAACTGACCTAAAATTGTTATTTATACTTCAAGCTATATCTTACAATATATTAATTGTAGAAAAGAATGACAGTTCTTTAAGAGGCTTAAGTCAGTTACAAAATTCTTTATTATAATAACACTGGGT